CTGGTTACTCTCTGGCAGTTTGGTTGGTAAAGTGCCTTGCCAAACACTTCGGTCCTGTTCAGTTTTTCAGTATCCTAGTTGATAATCCTTTAAAAGTATCAATTTATACAAATATTATTAATAAATTACAACAATAAATTACAAAAATAATTATATTGTTATTAGCATGTAATTTTATTTAAATCTCAAAGATATAACAGAAATAATAAAAGGTTTAATTAACCTTTTAATTTTGAAAAAAGCTTTTAAAAAGAATATTTTGAAAAAAGCTTTTTAAAAAAAGATATTAAACAAAATTGTATTTCTAAATAGCCTAATATAAATTATTTTATAAACTCTTTAACTATTATCGATTTATTTATTGTAATCATATGATATTGTGAACTTAGTTCACATTTATATATAATTGTTAAATACTATACATATATCTATTAGATATACTATATTAATTTATAGTACTAATTCAAGTTTGTAATCCTTCAGAACAAACGAATTTAACAGAACAATCTTATTCTACAACTTAAAATTTAAAACTTTGAATTGTAAATTGTTAATATTAAACTTAATTTGATTCAAATGTCTATTAAAAAAGGCAATACTTTACTTAACTTTATTCAAATGCCTATTAAAAAAAGCATGTTAATGTAATACATACATCTAAATACTATATCTAGAGATTGTATTTATCAAAAAAAATCTCTACTCAAATATTATTAATTACTCAGTTATCTAAATAATTTATTATAGGCATATAATAAAAATGTCTACCAGGTATGTACAACCTCTAATTATGCTATAACTTGTTATAATATTTTTGATAATAGTACTTTTTAATAATCGCTTAATAATTCTATAAAGTTTTAATATTCTGCTCTAAATAATTCTATAAAGTTTTAAAATTATAACCACTAATATTAAACTAGTTTCTAATAGAGGACAAACTTTATTTTTTTAAAGTTAATCAGAGTGGCTCCGAAGTACAGACTATGGCATAGCCATAGCTAATAATTTAATAACTAAGATAAAAAAAAATCTAGTACAGCTTGTCATTAGTTGTTTATTTTTTTTGTGATTATGCTATTGATTCATACTTCAGAAAGTTACTTTATTTTTAACTAATTTAGAACCCAGTTTTCTAGATGAATATGTATACATTTCTATATTTAAATAATAAATATTAGTGAAATAATAATTAAAAAATATTTTTATATTTGAACAATTGATGTTAGCATAATGCTTATTAAAATGCACTTCTCTATTAAACAATGGATATTAGTGTACAATGATTGGAAAATTATTTTTATATTCAACAATGGATATTAGCACAAAAATGCACTTTTATATTAAACAATTAATATTAGCATGATGACGATTTGACAATATTTTAGAACAATAATAAATTAATTACAGAATTATAAATAAATACTATATACATATATAATAAATAAATACTATATACATATATAATAAATAAATTCTATATACATATATAATAAATATAAATTTGTTAGGAGTAACAATTTCAATATATTGATATGTATATATAATGTATTCAGGAGTAACAATTTCAATATATCGATATGTGCATATAATAACTATAAATTTGTTCTTTTTTTTGAATGTATTTAGATCAGGGCTAAAACGACACATAGTAAATGCCAGCCATTTAATAAGTGTCATTTTTGATTCATATTATATTTAAATTTTATTGGCCATAAAAACAATTTAACGTAGTGTTATATGCAAATGATATAAATATTGCATTAATAAAAATATATATCAATATGTATTAAAGACGATCAAATACTTAAATATTTATATCAATAATTTTGATGTATCAAAACGTTACTTCAAACAATGGGCAGTGGCGCAGAAAATGGTCGTCGTATACTATATTTCATTTTAGCCCTGATTTAGATTAACATTTCAATATATTAATACATTATTTATTCCAAGAAATAATTATATTGTTATTATTTATATAATTATACGTATAATTTTTTATTTACAAAAATTTGGGGTTCATTTTGTGAATAGTATATTAAAATTTGGGGTTCCTATCAGGGCCCAATTCCGCAAATTCGCCGATATGTATACTATATTACAACGGATTTATAGCAGTTAAAATTTTCCAACCCGATTACTACGTTATAACGAGGGCAGACTGTAAACCGATTGATATAATTTGTAATACAGAATGTAACTAAATGATATCACAAGATTCTTGTTCTTTATTAATGTTTTGTTAATCGATGTGGCAAATTCTAAATCACCGATATAAGATATAAGCATTATACAAATCACTTTGAAATATATTGGCACTATGTAAATGAATTATTTAAAGATTGAATGCAATATAAAATAGCAACTTCGTTAAGATTCTTATGTAAGTCTCATTTCAGCATAGTGCATAACTAAAATATCTCCAGTGTTTTAGATTCAATATTTGAAATATGTGATTACCTTTTAAATTATAACTATCAATAACTGAATAAATTCATACAACTTTGAGCTGTTAAAAAAGTGTACACTTGAGATCTGATTCGTATAAGCCTTTTTACGCACGACTCACCTTACCTGCAAGTTGTCTTACAAAATTCTAACATTATTGTTCAATTTGTTCAAGACTTGATTTATTCAGAATTTCGATGAAAACTACAATAATTTATATCATTATACTACCACTAAATTTTATCATGTTATAAAATCTCACCGTAAAGCAGAAAAAAAAATGTCAATACTTGTGAGTGCACCACACACCTTGTCCACAGATGATTTCACTAACTCTACCGTTATTTAAATAGTTATAATTCAAATTATTTTCTAGCCAATTAGCACAGGCATATTGAAAGTGTAAAATAAATAATACCATTACGGCGCATTTGCGAATTAATCGGGCAATTGGTCACCAAATCCAAGTATTTGATCCCCAAAATTAAAATTTAGTTACCAGATTATACATTAATTAATCAATGTTAAGCCCCGAAAAAAAATTTTGATCTGTACTGATAACGCGTCTAACCCATCTTTCCCACGGGCTAACCCATTTTCCCACACTCATTAAACATAGGAATTTATTAAATAACGCATGATGACTTGGAGAATGTTGATTATCTCAGTTAAAATCTATATTTACACATTAGTAGTCAAGTTTTTCAATTTTGAGGTATATATTGTTATGTACAAAATCTGACTTAAAGGAAAAAATCCATTAAGATATACTGTATTAAGGGTGTTCTCAAGCATCTAAAACAATAGGTCTGAGTTCAATTTTTAATTAGTGGAAAATAAATTATTTGGTCAAGTGAGTTCATTATCGCGATAAAAAAAAAAGATGGTTGGAGACCATCATAGAGTTGTGCTGATTGGCTAAAATTTTAATATCCGCGTTTCGCAACGTGAATTTTCGACAAAATTACCGTAAGGTTTGCTTCAATTAATCGTAGTATTTGTGCACGATCTCTATAGTTAGCTAATTACACTGAGAGAGATGCTTGAGAACACCCTAAGTATGTAAGGTTTATTGGCATCGTAAGTAAAATTAGAATCTAGATTGATTTGGGATTGTTAAGATTAGGATGAGAACCTGATTTTAAGTAGTTATTAAATTCAGTTACGCTTACCAACACTCAACACTCAATTCGCCGACAAGTTTTTTTCATAAATTCTGCTAACCTAACATTAATTCTAACCCGACCCTAACTACAATGGCCAGAATTATTTTGTCGGTGAGATGAGAAATAAATGTCGGCGAAACAAAAATGTCGGGTCGGTGAAATGTTACGTCTACGAAATGAGTGTCGGTAAAGTGAATCGAGCCGCTAATTTCAAATTAATTTTAGCGTTCTTAAGCATGCAATATTTAATGATCAAAATCGCGAACAAGTATCATGATTAATTGAAGCACCGTATAGCTATACATGTTGGCAAAATCCCAAACTATTATAGTTTGGGTTTGGACGCGCCCAAATCCCAAACTCTGGCCAAACTCATATCTTAAAAACTTTATTAATAATCTTTATTTAAACAAATCCAATACATATTTATAGCTATATATAATATATTTGCCAAATTTCAAGATTCAATATTTTATAAATAGCAATTGTATTTTGGGGGTTTGGGATTTGTCCGGGTTTTGCCAACAAGTATAAGCTGAATTCGGTTTGCTGTTCGAAATAACGCGCATGCTCGTTATTTCGCAGCTTATACGGTCAATTTTGCTGAAGGTCAGTATGAAATGCGAATATTAAATTTTAGCAAATTAGCTCAACTCTGATAGTGAAAAGATGGTCTCGCCATCCTTTTTTTATTGTGATTATGAACTCATCTGACTGGCTTATTTTATATCCAAATTACATTACCTTGAATTGACTTATATGAAACAATTTATCAAAAAGTATATCTTTTATAACCTACGCATAAATGTTTCTTTGATTAGAGTTTGGAACTGATCATATCTGGGTGCAACTAATTACACACGGGTTTATATCCAAACTATGTGGCCGAAGACCACGTGGCTTGAATATAAACCAGTGTGTAATTAGTTACACCCAGATATCCATACAATAACTATAACTTATTTTTCATATATTAAACTGATTAAACCCGGTTTCAAGCTCTCTTTGAGCACATATTACATAAATTTAAAGCGAAAAAAAATTTTTTTTTAAAATATTTATTTATACATTCACATAATCTCGTGCTTGTAAGTAGAAAAACCGTTATCACTGTTATTTTAATATTGTTTGTAAATTACTTATTTTCCAGCAACTAGGAATAAAATATGCACAATATATACTATAGCGTGCCAAGAGTTATACATAATGTCTAGGCAGTTCATGATCCTAAAGCTAATCCTGCAATAAAAGAAAAAACAACAATAATAAAGATGAATAAACATCCCCAGAACGCATCCTTTTGTAACCTGTGTAATTATATTGAATATATTTATTAGATTTATTAACTTGCACATCAAGACTATATATTCAAAATGAGATAATTTAAATGACTACATACTTTACTTCTTTAAAATCCGATAAATTATATGCACCCCTAAATCTAAAAATCATCTCTTTGGCATTAGCAATACTCCTTTTTACAGCTTGGTCATCTCTGTTAAATATATCCGGATTCGGAGAAATGATCCATCGATTTTGAATGGTTTTCAAAAAATTCTTCATCGATGAATTAAGCTTATTTTCGATGCTATTATCTTCAGTTTGCTTTTTATTCACACCAGAAAACGCAACTATCATATGTTTGGTAACTCCATCTCCAAGGAATTCTTTAACTAAACGAACTGTTTCTCCAAAATTTCGGTAATTGTTTATATCTGATTAAATTAAAAATCAATTAGCTATTTTTTTTTTTATTAAAAAAAATAAAAATTAAAAAATAAAAATGAATATAATAGTATAAATACTAATAACAAGGATTATCGCTTGGATTCCATAAGAGCATAAATTAATTAATTTGTCAATTCTTGATAAGTGTTCTGCATCATTAATCATTGCGTCGAATATTCCCGGTGTGTCAATTAGAATAAATTCTCTATCACCAATTTGAATTGAAGCAGTTTGACATTCTCTAGTGACATAACCCTTAAAATAATGAAATATTAAACAAAGCAGTTTATATACTTAAACAAAATGACATGTATTAACAAACCATTGTGGAGTCTGCTTTAAATATATCATCATCTAATAACCAATTCCCTAATGTACTTTTACCAGCTCCTATAAGATTGTATAAATTCGTAAACAATATTGCATTTGCTAAATAATGTTGATTAGATATTTACCGGTGCATCCCACGATTAAAATCGCGGTATTTCTAACCTCTTTTGGATTTACATTAACTCGCGACATTACTTTATCTGTGGTATTGCTAAGCTTTTTGGGATCTACACCAACTTCGTTCTTAATTTCTATGCTTGCCATGTTAAAATAAGCTTGCTGAAAGTTTATATAAAATTCATATCACCTATATTAGTCTTATTATTTAATTATGAATGGACTTTGAATACGGAGATAGACACTTTTTTTTTAGTGGTAAAGGTTAAGGTACTGTTATCCTCAGACTATTCTTTTTAAATTTCGATACAACTAAATTACTATATAAATAATGAAGAGTTGTGTTTATGCTAAACTATATTATTTAGCGGTTAAAGTGGATTTACAAATTACGAAAAGGCACAATATCAAATATATTAAATATGAGCAATTGTAACAATAGATTTCTTAAAATGCTATTGAGTTTCAGGTGGGATAGCGGAACTATTTATTCATGTCATTTAACTAAGAACAGCTATTATATATCTGCTCTAAGTTATAAATGTTCCGGAACTAAGCGGAGGACCATACTAGATACAATTTAATCAACTTTTAAAATTGTGAAACATGATTTTGCCAATTTTGGTTTCCGCCTAAGAGTATTGCTTTGAGAGAAAAAATAGCTAAAAAAATTAATCGAATGCATCACAAATTTGAATGCGTTTCGTATAATATATTCTCTTGTTCTTGTTCATGCTCTCGCTCATGCTATTGCTTATGCTCTTGCTCCGCGATACATAGGTCGAACAAAACTATAACGAACAACAATCAGGTTCCCAATAGGTCTCCTATAACCCTATTATAAGGAAATGGGAATTTGTCGGTTTTTGCTAACCAAAAGTCACCGGGTGAGTGGTTGGGAAAATCCTCACTCTAACAGATTACTAATTCCCATATAGATAATAAAGATTATCTATATTTTCTATAATTTGAGTGAATGGAATTTGTAATCTGTTAGGGTGAGAAATTTTTCCCACCCACCTAGTCATTGCCTATCTAAGGGTTCCGCTATCTATTTCTATCTATAGTTACTCCATACCTAAGATCCGTCTGTGGATCCCCTATTTAAACCCTCTGATCACCGTACAACCCTCGGTATCTCCTTTAGTTCTTCCGATAAATTTTCTTTATCAATTTTGACTGAAGACAAATGAAGCTTAGAATGCTTGATCGGCAATGACATGTTGGAATGGGTTTTTAGATCTAATTTGTTGAAAAGGCCTCCACTTGTTGGCGAATAATTATGAAATATATTCGAGTCTTGACAAAGTTTATAAATGCCCATGTTTAATTAGATGTGCAGACTTAACGACCAAGAATTTTAAATTGAAAGTTTGAGAAGATCAATATTAAATTCCAAATAACTAAACTATAGAGCGAATTTTGCATTTTATCTAAAAAAAAAAAACTTAACGTGCTTATTTTCTGAGTTTTACGGTATATGTCGTGGCTGATGCTGGAAATGTTAAATACCGTAAAACTCAGAAAATAAGCACCACACCAGGGACAGTAAATACCTCCATTAAGAATAAAACGGAATAAAATGAATAAAATGATAAATTATAGCCAATCAAATCTCGCTATTAATCGCGTAATAATCTCGTAATAATCTTCGGAAATTGAAAATTATTTTGAAAATTAAATTTTGGTTGGCTAAAAAGTTTTTTTTTTGTGATATCGGAATAAAATGGAATAACATGGAATAAATGGAATAATTGATATTTTTGTGATAAAAAATTCGTCATTTAATAATGGAAGTATTTACTGTCCCTGCACCACACCCTCTACCTACTTTTTTCAACCTCAGATTAGCGGGAATAATTTTAGTAAAGATTTCATTGTTATTTCCGCTAATCTGAGATTGAAAAATAGGGTAAAGGGTATGATGCTTATTTTCTGAGTTTTACAGATTTTTTTGGGGAGCATTTTTTTTGCCGTATTCGCGCGTAATAACGTACATTTCGAAACCACCATATTTTTTTGAAGTTGTTTTTTTGACTCAAAATAACGCCTATGTGCGTCCCAAAAATAACGCCCCCTTAAATATACATATTCATTAATAAAAGCAGGGTTACCCGAATTTGTCAAAATGATTCGAATTATCGCGCATGTACGCTCCGAAATAACGCGCAAGGTCTCAAATAATGCACAGATGCGCGTTATTACGCGCAAATACGGTAGCCTTTTTTTCAGTTAGCGTAAGATTTAGGGTTAGTTTTGATAATAAAAATGTATAAGTGGATTTTGGTAGGGTTTATATTTTCAAATCGAGGTCCCTAATTTCCGGCTTCAGCTTTCAGCTGCGACAATATATATTATAATATATAATTGAAATATAAAACTAATATAGATATACAGTATTTTTTAAAAAAAATTAAACATTGCTAATTTGATGAAATTCCTGTTTCATTTACTGGAATTATCATGAGCTTCATCTTCGATATCTCGTGATCTAGTTAGTACCGAATCGTCTCAATTAGACGATTCAAAGATATCGAAGATGGATCAAAATAGAAGTTTGTACAATGTAACGAATACGTTACACCGGGTTTGGTCGAAAAATCATAAATAATTAAACAGAATTCAGAAAGTTTCAACCTTTTTTTTGCAACTATATTACAGATGTTGGTGAATAATAAACTTTAGAAATTTATCAATTCTAAGAGATTTATGGATAAAAAATTTTATTTACCTTCTATAATTTTGGTCGGAAGAGAAGGTATGTTAACTAAACTATTCAAGAGTATATGCTACATTATTAATATTATATAATTTGTTAGGTGTGGGAAAAAGTACTGTCGGGAATATGCTATTAAAAGCATGCGAAAATTATGAAGAACGTTTTGAAACGTATGAAGGACCCTATGATGGATATGGTGAAGACGTAATTATTTACTGATTTATTTATTAATTCATTCGTTTTTACCACTTATTTTTTAATACTGTATATTATTATCTTTGTTATAATCCAATTTTAGGGACGTAATCAGCAACAAATAAAAACTGCCAAACTTTCTATAGATGGAAAAGATTTCATCTTAGTGGATACACCGGGGTTTACAAAAGAAAAAACTAGTTCAACATGGGGAGAAATCAATAAAGTTATTGACAATTCATATGAACATGGAATTCATGCCTTTCTTTTTGTACTTGGCATGTATCTTTCAAATTTATTCATTTTTAATATATTCGTGTACATAGTAGAATTATTATTTATACTTAATTATAGAAGGACAGCGCTTTACATCAGATAGAAGATCTCATTTAGATGAATGCATGAAAAAATTAAATAATGATAATGTAATCATAGTATTTACAAAATCTTCTAAAGTAGAAACTGAAACTCCTGAAAAGATGAAAAATTCTTTTGCAGATTTTGTAACAGAATATATCGAGAAAGTTAATCATCGATGGGTTGTTGCACCAAATCCTGATATTTATGATGAGCATAATTATGTAACTACTAACAATATGAATCATTTAAAAACGTTGATTTCCGAAATTAAAGAGCCTTGGAAAAAGAATAAAAAACTGGATTGGCATATATACATTGTGCTTGCTAGTCTTGTGTTGATTTTGGCGATTTTCGCATATAGAATTAATCTATTTGAATTAATTCACAATAAAATATATACGATTTGTAAGATCAGTTTATTTCTTTCTTATTCACAATTATATAATTTAATATTTTTTTTCATTATGTAGATCTAACAAATAATACAAATATGACTATTGGTAAGATCATTTTATTTCTTACTTATTTACAATAATATAATTTATTTTTCTTCATTATATAGATCCAGCGAATAATACAAATGCAACTATTGGTAAGATCATTTGATTTCTTTCTTATTAACAATTATATAATTTAATATATTTTTTTTATTATGTAGATCTAAAAAATAATACAAATACGACTATTGGTAAGATCATTTTATTTTTTCTTATTCACAATTATATTCTTTAATATTTTTTTCACTATGTAGATCCAACAAATAATAGAGGTTTCTGTAATATATTAAATTTATTTAATTTATTTGGTAATTGGAGTTCACAAAACCTAACAGAAACCAATAAAAAAATGTATTGAAATTGATAATAAATTGATTGAAAACATCTGAATATATTAAAGATATAAAAGCACTATTGAAATATATTGGTTACAATTAATACATTGTGCTTGCTAGTCTTGTGTTGATTTTGGCGATTTTCGCATATAGAATTAATCTATTTGAATTAATTCACA